TTCTCTATATGTGTGCCAATATTTCTTGACAAAAACAAAGCATTTGCTGCAAGGGCTTAGAATACATCGTTGATTGTCGCATATTTATGAGACCGATAGAAATGTGTGATTGAATGTGTAATTAAACAATTGATTATTTTGAATATACACAGATTTGATAGATGTTTATGTTTATATAACTATTTTCTAAATTACTAAAGGCTTCTTTTTTACAATTAAGTGAACAGTAGCAACAGGGCAAAGCATTTAAAAGTTGATGAATTAGTGAAAAAGGCAACAGAGCAGTAGCTTTTTGTTCTATTGACTCGGTTCTAAACTATGAAATCAAATGGTGTTAACAACTGTTAAAGTAGTGCACTTTTAAGCATGAAATGATATTTTTAAAAAACTGGGCTTGCCTGTGTAATGTTATAATACATTCAATCATCATACTAGTTAACAAACAAAGTGCAAATAAATGCTTTAGCAGCGTTTTGTATAGGCCTTGGCCTGAGTCTTAATCCAAACTCATCTGCGACAAGTGACTCGTACCATAAAACCAAAAACAATCCATATATCATGAAATTATGACAGCCAACAGCTCTTACCTGTGTGCTGCTGTGATGATTGGCAACAGCGCACACAGCTAACACCCAGCCGCAGAGACAAACTACACTTGAGTCACTTCCGCTGCACTTGCCGCCAACGAAGTTTGGCAACGTTGCAAGTGAACGTCTGCCTATATAAACTTATTTAAAAATTAGTTATGTTTATATATATATATATATTTATATATATATATATATATATATATATATATATAATATAAGATTTGGGATTGCTGTGCGGCCACATCAATAACCAGGCGTGGGTCTCTCTGGGGTTTCCTGACTGCAATAACATATTTAGTACATGTGTGAATGTCTTCTATGACTTTTATTGTTGGTTCTGCTGCTCTACACAGGAAAGAAGTGAGCTTAAACCTCAAGACGGCAAAATACGAGTGACGCGAAAAACGTACGAAAAAATAAAATAAATAAAAATAAGAGAAACAGCGCTCAGATCAAGTCTAGTCAGCGTTGTCTAGTCTCAGTCCGATCTAAACTAGTCGAGGCGTTGCGGTCGGCGTGGCCAAGCAACCCGCAGCTAGCAATAACAACCACATCAAAGTGCATTGACGTTTACTTTGCATGTGGCTGCACCACCAGCACCACCAGCAACACCAATAACAGCAGCAGTCGACGCCACTGTTAAAGCTCAGCACATCTCTGCTGGCTACACTCCCGCCCCCTCACCCACGCGCATGGCCCAGGCAAGTCTTCTAGCCAAGCGAGTATCGTTTTTCTTTATTTCTGAAGAATCGGCAAATTGCAGAAAACGAGATTTTTCTTTCGATTTGGCGTCGAGTACATTGCACTTCGAGCTGCAGCCACAGTTTTCAGCTGGATTCGGTCAATGTGTTGGTTTCACTCGAGCTGAGGATCGATGCCGAACACAGGTACGATTCAGTCAGCCATGGCGATGTTGCACAGTGGTACCACTTCTATATGCACCTTAACAATTTGGTGTGCATACATGAATACTTGAGTATGCAAATAAATATAAAGAAATTATTTAAATAAATTTAAGTACAATAAAAATGCCACAGAAAAACTTTTTTTTATATTATTATATTTGAAGTCAAACTCAGACGAGTAACGACATAAGCAAAATGGATTCCTGGCATAACTTTAGTACCTCAAATGCCTTAACACTTATTTTAGTAGCTTTACTATCTCAATAACTATATCTATCCAAAATCAGGCTATAGATGCTTCTGGCAACAAGTTTTGTATTCATTGTACCACTGTGCCTTGTCCGTCTCCGTTTTGGCACGTAGGTTGTTGGCTCGGCGGTCGTTCGTTGTCGTTTTCGTCGTCGTCGTTGTTGTTGTCGTTGTTGTTGTTGTTGTTGTTGTCGTTATTGTCGTCTTGAAAACTGGGTCAATCGCTGCTTGGGCTGTTGTCTACGTATTTATTTAGTTGTGTTGTGTTGTCTTGCATCTCGTTGCCTGGTTCGACTGGATTTGGATGGACAACTGGTTAGAGGCTCACGGGTAGGGAGCTGGGGAGAAGGAGGGATGGCAAATAGTGTAAATTGCAAACTTTTTATTGCCTTTTCATTTGCCTATTTCTTTATGCGACTAACTGGTTGACAGATCAACTCAGTTAAGCCCGGCTCTGCTTGGCTTGTGGAGAGAAGTACCAAAAAGAAGGCAACTTCAGATATAGTTAGACTCGATTCTCAGAGCATTTCTTAGCTTGTACTTCCGTTCGCTGATGCCTTTCGGTGACCCGGCTCGGCTCGGCTCTTAGTTTGGGTTTCGTTTAATTGCAAGTGACATAACGGTTAAACGCACTTTGGCCGGTCTGGTCACATTGACAGACCCCGCAGACCAGTGTCTTCAAAGTCTAGACATAAGAACGTGTTGCTTGGCTCAGAATGCCGGCCGGCTCTTTCGGCCCAACCGGTTTCGCGTTTCTTCTGGCTGTGTTCTGACTCTTCCTCTTCTCCTTCCGCGTATGTTTGTGCTCTGTTCTCTCATGTTCTTGACTGCCGTTTAGCGGGGTTTTCCTTTGTGTCACGAGACCGCTAGCGTGGCTGCGCTTTATGGGTGTGAAGGGGCTCGGCAGGCGCAGCAGAGGGAAGGCCTTAAATGTGCTCAGGTTCTACAGAATTTGTGGCATATGCCTGAGATTTAGTTAATGGAAAAGTTTATACGACTGTGAGATCGCTAGAAGATATACATATGTACATTTTTAAAGTTCGACATGTGCCGCTAGTGTCTTTAAGCCTTGTTAAAGGTAAGTCATAAAGATAAAAGTTACGCAGAAAATAGGTAAGAAACCATAAAGAAGTTCAATTAACAAAAGTTTCTGTGAAAATGATTGGAAATTGAAAATAGTAAAGTTAGATCAATTTTTTATTCATACTTTAAGTAATTATAAATTTTTTATTATATTGGAATAGTTTTACGATTATGTTCTGTGTATTTTCTACTATATTTTAAGTACATTGAAAATACAGGACATATCTTAAATATTCGACCACTGACTTATTCATAAAAAAATCTGTAAGCAAAACTACATTCTTACGTTTTTACTAATAGGATTTGTCAATATATTATATATGACCTTTACAATTATTATTTTAAAATTATTAAAATGATTTCAATTTGTAATTTAAACAAAAAACTATGCAACTGTTAAGCTTTTTTAAATAAAAGATTTTAGCGCGGCCAAAAGCTTTTGGCTGATACAAACGCGTGGCGCCATCTGGCGACAATATATGCAACTATGGTGAGTGAGTCATTTTCTAATGATGTGGCAACGCACCGAGTTGGTTGCGAACTTGACTAATTCTCTAAGGTATTGTTGACCTACCCAAAATTAAAAAAAAACATCTTTTATTTAAACGGGTTTCAATTCTACAAAATTGGATGATATAGGTTTTTCCGTTTTGGAGGAAGTCAATGTAAGCAGTAAATTTTGGTTTCTAGCTGCAAGACGCCCCAGTAGGTGTGTATTTATACTTTTTGACCAATTATTGATTCTACAGAAATTTTGAGGCTAAGGCTTTAAAGCTGTGGAAAACACAGTTCATTTTCAGTTTGGTCACTAAATGGTATATTTTTGTAAATCCGACATATTCAAAAAGGTATTAATTAAATTGAAACAAACTTTGCTATCAAAAAGTTATAGTAAATAAAATCTACGCCCATTTGGGTTTGACCAAATTCTGTAACAAATTCTTTGAACAATATTTAGAATTTTTATCTACGTTTATAGGAAGCGTGGCAACCAACAAAACTCTATATTTGTAAGCTCTTAGAGCTAAAAAATTCAAAGTTCCATTGTCTCTTTTATTGTTGCACCAAACTAATTCGTAATCATTCCTTGAGAGCGTGGCATATCGCAAATATTCTGTAAGGCCCACAGCGCTAAAACATTACAGTTAAATTACTGTAGATTGCTTCAAAGGATTGGTCAAGAATCGGGAAAACCCCTGACTTCTAAAGCCTTGCAGTTGCCGCTGGCAGAGCTCAGACCGTGAAATTGTTGTTACTTTTTTTTTGCAAATTACATTTTTATTGAAAAGTTTTTGTAGCATATTTTATTATTAAAGTTTCAGTTGAGTACTTGGGTAATGTAAAGACTACGAGAGAGTTATGCACAGGAATACAAGAAAAAACATTTTGTTGTGCTTAATAATAATACAAATGATATTCATATACTCAAATTGCTTTCGTTTTTTATTCATATGTTTTTTAGGTATGATCGATCTTTGGGTGTTTCGAGTACTTGGAAGATTGCCATTAAGTCCAAAACTTTTGCCTGCTTGTCAGTCTTCGGTGCAATTTGAAATAGTTGATTTGCCTTTGAGAATTGTGCAGTTCTTTTGTTTTGATTTAATATAATTTTTAAAATTTTATATTTGAAATAAAATATGTAACTAAACGTTGTAGTTGTATATAAATAATTATGCGTATAAAAATGTTATGGAGTCTTAAATTAGTGTGACGCAGTGGGCTGAAAAGACATGTAATGTGGGCAGGTGAAGAGGGAAGTAGAAAGCGAATGAAGAGTCAAAGAGTAGAAGAATAGAAGAAAATGGCTGCGAGAAATGCGATAGACGTGCCTCCGTGTAAAGTGTAGCGTAGAATGAAGAATGAATGAATAGAAAGACAGACAGAGAGAGAGAGTGAGAGAGAAAGAATGAATGAGAGAGAGAAAATGAATGATTCAAGTGAAGTGAATGAATGAAGGAGCGAATGAGTAGTGCATGATTGGGTCTGAAATGAGAACTTTGGACCATTTCCGGCTGATGGTGTTTCTATTGCTGTCAAACTACGCTTGACATTTCCTGTATAAGTATGTATTAGTGTGTGTGTGGGTGTGTGTCTCGTTGTATGTGTGTGTGTGTGTGAGTGTGTATTGTTGTCGCGTCCTTAGAGTATGTGGCAGTGCTTGGCGCGCATTTGCTGGCGCATGGAGCGCAGTAAAGCGTGCTGGCCACCAAACAGTAGACGCTCACGCACGCACCTCATTCCTCTGGCCACACCATTAAATACAATCGCCCTCGACCTCCTCCTGGTTAACATCGGGATCGAACTCATCGTCGGCGGTGGCCTCCTGATACTGCTGATACTCCGAGACCAGATCGTTCATGTTGCTCTCCGCCTCGGTGAACTCCATCTCGTCCATGCCCTCGCCAGTGTACCAATGGAGGAAGGCCTTGCGACGGAACATGGCTGAGAACTGCTCGGAGATGCGCTTGAACAGCTCTTGGATGGCGGTGGTGTTGCCAATGAATGTCGAGGACATCTTCAGCCCCTTGGGCGGTATGTCGCAGACGGCGGTCTTCACATTGTTCGGTATCCATTCGACAAAGTACGAGCTGTTCTTGTTCTGCACAGCGAGCATCTGCTCGTCCACCTCCTTCATGGACATGCGACCGCGGAAGACGGCGGCCACAGTCAGGTAGCGTCCGTGACGTGGATCGCAGGCGGCCATCATGTTCTTGGCGTCGAACATCTGTTGGGTCAGCTCCGGTACGGTCAAGGCGCGGTACTGCTGTGACCCGCGCGAGGTGAGCGGCGCAAAGCCGGGCATGAAGAAGTGCAGACGCGGGAATGGTACCATATTCACAGCGAGCTTGCGAAGATCGGCGTTCAACTGGCCGGGGAAGCGCAGGCAGGTAGTGACGCCGGACATAGTTAGCGAGACGAGATGGTTGAGGTCGCCGTAGCTCGGATTCGAAACCTTCAGTGTGCGGAAGCAGATGTCGTAGAGCGCCTCGTTGTCGATGCAGTACGTCTCGTCTGTGTTCTCCACCAGCTGATGGATGGACAAAGTGGCGTTGTACGGCTCCACCACCGTATCGGACACCTTTGGCGATGGCACCACCGAATAGGTGTTCATTATGCGATCCGGATACTCTTCGCGAATCTTCGATATGAGCAGGGTGCCCATGCCAGAGCCAGTGCCGCCGCCCAGCGAATGCGTCAGTTGAAAGCCCTAAAAATTAGATGGGAATACGTGAGTACAATCTGTATTTGGTGAAGATGCATCCATTGATGGATGGAGATGGATTTGATGATGTCTATAATTATATAATCCAAGTGCTTAGGAATTTCACTCAACCAGATTATTCAACATACTTGAAGACAGTCGCAATTCTCGCACTCCTTGCGGACCACGTCGAGGACATTGTCCACTAGCTCGGCGCCCTCTGTATAATGTCCCTTGGCCCAGTTGTTGCCGGCACCTGATTGACCGAACACGAAGTTGTCCGGACGGAAGAGCTGGCCATAGGGACCGGAACGCACCGACTCCATGGTGCCTGGCTCCAGATCCAGAAGGATGGCGCGCGGCACATACTTGCCGCCCGACGAACGGCTCACAGCTAGAGGAATGCAAGAGGGCGTGAGTCAGCAGTCAAGATTAAGATATATTGGCATACCAAGAACAAGAACAAGAACAAAAACGAGAACACTTACCAGATGCTTCATTGTAGTAGACGCTGACACGTTCCAGCTGCAGATCGCTGTCGCCCACGTAGATGCCATTGCTGTCAATGCCATGTTCTTCCGAAATGATCTCCCAGAACTGCAATGGAATAGGAAGAGGAGATGGATATTATTTCCAGTGCTTTTATTGACGCTAAGATTAATGTGTTCGATCATGCAACAAGCCATAAACATGATCACAATCTCGAATTCGAGGTGTCATTGTAAATAAACATCCCGCTGCTACTAAATATATACAATGTCGGAGACACCTCTGGGCTCTATGTAATAGTTACGAGGAAAGTGCCGTTATAATGATCGTGCTTATAACAATTTAATGGCTTTGGCCTGTGCCACCATAAAAAGATCTCGCATATCTTCTGCAGCTATTTTTGTGGCCGCCCTGAGGCACTCTTATTCAGTGTCCAGTGGGAGGCATCTTCGAGTCGGAAATAGTGCACATCTTCGCATTTCAGCTATTTTGGTCTACGCATATTTCTGCTTTTACTTTTTATGGGCATAGCTCTACATATTTTTATAAATGCATATACAAGTAAAAAGGAACGACTACGTGGCAGGCCATTTACTCATATGAGTGCGCGCTTACAGATATAAGTTTAGGATAGTCCTAGAAAATATTGCCACTGGAATGGGAAAGGTAATTGAAATCAATGAAAATAGTGAGAGTATTTCCAACAAGAATAAATCGTATATTTTTTGGGCATTTTACTCAGATTAGCTTTGCGATTTCATCTTTAAAATGTATAATTTTTCAAATTTAAGGAAAAAAGCTACATTCGGGGATGTCCGACTAAGACACACAATGAACGGATATCGATGTACGTTTTTAGATATTCTATGCCTTGTATCTATGCAGATCACGTAGATACTTCTGTATACGCATAGCTATATGTACAACTTTTGAAACAAAATACATTTTCCCTTATCATTCACAACAAAAAGCATTTCCTTAAACAAAAGCCTGCCAATGCCAGGCTTTGAGCCCACAACGAGAATCGCTTCCATAGCCTCATCATTGCTTATTCTCTAAGTAGCAAATCTAAGCTAAAGTAGCAGCAAGCAATCCAATCCCAATAGCATAGAATTCAAGTGTTTGAGTCAATGCCAGAGAAAGTGCGTGTGTTTTCCATGTTGCAATCTTGGTATCTAAAGGAAAAACTAAATGAAACTAAATGTAACGTTCTGTGACTCTAAATCAGCAGACCTAAAAGATATAAATTAATAAATTAAGTTCGATAATCTTATATATAAACTTGATCTGCGCTTGACTGCGCTTTTGACTGCAAGGCTCAAGTTCTTATGGGTTGCAAATGGAGGGCCGATCGGACTGACTCAGCTCGTCGTTTCGATTCTTTTTAGGATCAGCCACGCCTCCTCCTGCTTACTACTTACATTCTGACAAGCGCACTATACACAAATTAAAGTTTTCAATTGGGGGAAAGTATTTTTTGCTAATTCGGATAATCACAAATGACAGATAAGCCAGATATCGAATAGATAGGCCAATCTATCTGAAATTGATGTGTTTCTTTCATAGATAAGTACTTTGAGATTTGCTTGTGTAAATGATGCTCTCTCTGTTCCAAGCAGCATCAATGTTAGCTCTTTCAGTGCTATCAGCTTGATAAGGAGTTTCTAGCCAGTTGTTGTCTTTAGATAAGCTGCTGAAATATCTCAATATACATTTATCTTTGACTGCAGTCAGTCATCTGTCAAGCTCTTGGCTTGACGTTTGTCAAATAGAGTTCTGGTGAGCCCAGCCAGCCAGCCAGCCAGCCATGTCAGAGTTCATGTTGCCAGCCGCAGAAGCCGCCCAGAACAAAAAACTATACAAATTATAAGAAAATTTATATTTTCACTCGCTTTTCTCTGTATTGTGACAATGTGACAACGGAATAGGCACAGGCAGTCGCAGCGCCATAAAACTCTGTTTTTTTATTTTCTTCTTTTTTTTTGTTTTTCTTTTTCGGCGTAAAAAAGAAAAGAGCGATGGGCCAGCCTCAAAAGTGAGACACATCGTACACTTTTGGGGCTGACAATTTATGTTTGGTTTAGCCGTCAGAGTCGGATCTCTCCAACATGCCCTGATTTAGTGCTAAATTTAAAGAGAAACAACACACGGGCGACGCCTATGCACAGTCAGAAATAGTTTTCGACTTGACTTTTTCTTTTGAAAATACATATATATATATATATATATATATATATATATATATATATATATATATATATATATATATATATATATATATATACATATATATATAGAAGATATACTTTTTTTGGCTACATATATTTCAGTGCAGCGTGTCGCGGCATGGGACACTTCCAAGTTAAGTCTTTAATTCTGAATGCTTGCCGCTTGACAAACGCTCCTGGGGTACATTGCGCAACGCAATGTGCAACCTTATGTAGCGAAAGTGTTAAAAATAGCTCTGCCCGAGGCGTTGCACGTTGCACGTTGCCTGTGGGCACTGGCCAGATACCAACACAGACACAGATACAAATGTATCTACATACAAGCTGCTGCCTCTGCTGCTGCTGCTGCTGCTGCTGCTGCTGCTGAGTCACAGCTGAACTGCAGGCCAACGACCCAGGCGGCAACTCGCAGTTACTAAATTAACCCAGCAGACGCCAGTTGTAGACATCGACAACATCATTAGGAGGCAGCCGCTCGCTCGTCGGCATGCCAAGCAAATCAAATGGATACTTGCCTACATACAGATACATTTTCATTAATGTTGCCCTCGCGCTTGGCGTTTATTGCGGAAGCGCGCTGCAAATGCTGTGCTGCGTTTAACAGGAGAGAGTCTAGAATTTCGGCTATTTTGACCAAAGATGGGGCGCATTATCTTTCATTAACAAGGCGGCTTCTAGCTAGCTAATTTTACCATTCAAGCGCAACGCATAAATCGTTCATGCAATGAGTTTTCAATACCAAAAGTGTAATTCCAATGCGATTCTAATTGGACATCAATTGGAATACCCACCAAACAGAACGTCAGCGCGGAAACAATAAAAATGCCATCGCTTCAGCTCATTCCTGGCTCCCCGTTGCCCGTGCCCAGTTTTCATTTCCATTTCCAGTTTCCATTTCCAATTCTTGAGCTATCTATGCAGACTTTGTAGTCTGTCTCGTTTCCCTTTGGCACTTGAACTTGACGTGTGCCCCGCTGGCTGTGCGGCAGCCTGGCACCAGTCGCCAGGCACTAGCCACAACAATCCCGGTCACAGTTTACAGCCGGCTCCGATCGAAGCATTGGCAGCAACCAGCGGCTGCGTCTGCGCTTTGCTTTTGTTTATTTGAAAGGCAGATCAACTACATGTACAATCTCCGCGAGATCATCAAATTTAATTGGAGTGTGGCCGTTGCAATTATGATGCTTGCAGCGGCAGCAGCAACAACAATGAAGCGCAGTTTGTATGCCGGACTAGCGCTTACAAACAAACAACGAAATCATGCAACTCGCTTGAGGCAGCAACAAAGGGGCAACAACAAAAATAAATTAGCACACAAAACTGTTGAAGTGAAAAGTCGCTTTTCATGCCTTCCACTCTTTCCGGCTGTCTGAGTCTCTCTCTCTCTCTATCTCTCTCTCTCTCTCTCTCTCTCTGTCTGTGGCTCTCTACTCGAGCGATCGGTTTACTTTCAACTAACTTTTCTAGCTTTTTTTTGATGCTGCTGTTGATAGTTGCGGGAAATTGGTTTTTCGGTTAACAGCAATGATTGCCTGTAGCCAGGTCCAGCTGCGTAAATTGCTTTCAGCTGCGTCATACTCCTGGGCTGCCTCGGATTAGATATTTCAAATTTGTGAGAATGTGAAGTGAGTCAATAAAAGAGCTTCGGAGACTGGACTTATCAGCGGCACGATCATGGGTGAAAGGTAGGAAAAACAATTATGAAACGCACAAAAGAAAATGTTGAAAACCCTTTGCCATAAACTGTGATAAATGGCCGACGTCTGCGGGGAATTCAATGTAGATCGCATTAGAAATCAACAAAAATTTAAGCACTTTTGTGGTCGCAGTGCCTAATTCTTAATATTTATATAAATTACTAGCTAAACAATCTGAGAATATGTTATTCATTCAATCACACTGTAACAAATATTTAATTTTTTTACAGCTCACAATTCGCTTCACAAATATATAATATAATTAAATATATTTTAGAAGAAAATACAAATTCTTTCATATGGAGTCATAATTTATATCAAACGAATTTGATTGGGAAATAAACTTTTTCAGTTTCCAATGAATGAACAAAATACACTCTTGTAGCAATACCACAAGATACTACAAGTCTAAATCCATGATTAATACTGCTGATAAGTTAATCAATTTCAAAATTCAATTGCAAACTCAAAATTAATTTAGCTTTTTTTGTAATTTCTGAACTTTTTCATGGTAAAAACTAATTCAACTCGGATTCTATTAGCTAAATTGTACAGTTAGATTCTAAGTGCAACAGCTTTTTCTTTTCCTATTCTTTTTCTTTAAGTTTTCTTCTTCTTCTTCTTCTACAATTTCTTCTAACAAAAAATGCTTAAAAAATGAAGAAAATTGTAATTTATTACCAAGTCGCTGCACTGCTTAGCTGTCTCCTGCTGTCTTCTGCTGCCACTTGCCACTTGCCACTTGCCACACTGCAAGCAACTAGAAACTTTAGAGACTTCCAATTAGTTGTAAATGTTGCTGCGCCCATTGCAGAGCCACGCCTCCTCGGCCCACCTCAAACCCCCTTTTGCGCATGCGATCAGCTGCCGACGCCCTCATTAAGTGTTGCATGTCTGTAGCTTTAGCTGCCCCAGCGCTGTGTGTAGCTGTCTCTCAGTCTGTGCCACTTGAAATCACTCGGGCATGAACTTTGGAGCCGCTGCGCGTCTGAAGACTCAAGTCTTGAATTCGTCGGCGGATCGCCTGCAGCGTTGGCCATAGCTTTTCCGGCAGCCCTTGAAAAATATGCAAAATTCATTTTCACATGTTGCCATTTGCCAGGCATTTGGGCATCAAAGAACATCGAAGCAGACGCCTCGCCCCATTGTTGTCCGGCTGCCCACCAGCCGGGCCTATCGCTCACCAGCTGTTTTGTCTTCTTTTTCAGCTCAGACGCGATAATAAATCTTTCACAAGAAATACAAAAAAAAAAAAAGACAGAGAAGCCTCAGTTTGTTGACTTTGCCAGTGCATTCATTGGCTCTGTGTCTACATATGAGTATTTATAAGTAAGAGATTTATGAATTTATAATTTGTGCATATAATATGTAGGCACTTGCTGATTATTAAAATGCATTTATCGTCTGCTTGCGGAAACTCGAAATGCATATGCCCCTATCCTGTAACTGTAGACGCCCACGAAAATGTGCTGCCAGCAGACCAATCCTGCGATAGGCCCTCTTTCCCCAATCGACCTCTCCCCTTACAGGCACACACACACCCAGTTACATATTGATTCTGAGTCATTTCCTTTGTGCACTTGTGCGGTTTGCCTGATGCCCGATTCCCGATTGCGATCCGAAACTCAAATTTAAACACAAATGTGGGTATGGTTAGAGGTAGCTGCCACATTGCTGCCTGCTGCCTGCTGCCTGCTGCTTGCTGCTTGCTGCTTGTTGTTTATTTTTTGTTGCCACACATTTGAAGTGTCCACTCAGCTGTTTTGCTTTCATAATATATATATATACATTTAGTTGTATATACATATGTATAAAGTACTCGAATCTCTTGGGTAATGCGAAACCAACGGTTCGCTCAAATTACCAAGTCGGCTACGGCGACGTCGCCTGCGTTAGATAAAGAGTCTGGTACGCTTCTCATTCTCATTCATTGGCAACTACACACACACACACATACACAAGTAGACACATGTGCTCATATGTATAGAGGTCCATAAAAAGCATTACTATGCCGAATTTCTGAGAACTAAAAACTGTTTAGCGTTAAATTAAGCGACACTGAAAACCTTGCCCCCGCGCCCCAACTCCACCTCAGCTGGGGCCATTTCCCACAAAGCGCAAAAAACCTCAATTGAGTCATTTGAAGAATAAGAAGAAATAAAAATAATACAAAAATAACGACGTTTGCTTATCTTTGTGCTTGGGTTTACTTTAATTCAATTGTGTTCATAGTTTAATCATCGCTTGATTGGCTTTTATCCGCGCTTGTGCAACGAGTGACACACTTTTCTTTATTCTGGTTGCAAATTGAGTCGGAGCATTGACATTGATTTTGCCCCTGCTACACACACACACACACACACACACAAGCACTCGCTGATTGGAAATCGAAAAACCGGTTACAAGTTGCCAAAAAATGCAAAAGTTACTGCAACAACAAATGCAGCAGCAGCAGCAGCAGAAGCGGAGGCAGAGGCAGAGGCAGTGGCAGTGGCTCAAAAGTGCGTTGTGGCACGTTCGTTGCTTGGGTGCCCGATCGCCCGACTGTTGGCTATATTGATTAACTGACCGACGTTGCCCCGAGGCAAGCCCATTGAAAAAAAATAATTGACGGCAGGGCAGCTAATTGTTCCACATCGTTTTAATTGCAAGCATTGCAAACGATTAACTAGTTAGCTGCCGCAAAAAAACTGATTAGCAGGGCAATCGTATTTAATTGATCCTAACCACATGGTTTTTTGCTATATTATTTTAGGTAAATCGGAACCTCTGATCGATTTATGTATGCGGGGCTGGGGTCTCATGGCCATATGGCGGCCACGCCCTGTCGAGTGCCGTTAAGCACTTTTGATTTGCATTTATGTTGACAGCTGTTAGCTATTAGAAATTTTCCAGCAATTTCCGTTAATTTTACTAACTGGAACCAAGTGCTGGGCTTTTGGGTTACAGCTTAAGTGTTACTGGAATTGTGAGCTGTTTTTCGCAAAGAAAGCATTTTAGAAAGTTTATTAAGCAAGTAGACTCTCATTAATCTTGAAGTATGCTCACTTCTTCTTTTGACACCCTACTGCACTACACTACATGGCACCGGACTACGTAGACTTTATAATTTCGTCTGCGCGTTACTTTTCTTACACTCGACCGACATGTGAGGATCTCATTATACGCTTAATAATATTTTACACATATTTCAAATTATCTTTTTTAAGGTATATATTTTAGCTATGCTCTGTTTTTCTCCATTAGAGACACTCATAAATTATATTTAAGTAGGTCTTCTAATATAGCGTACTTCATATATTTAAAAGAGGTTTAATTATTTCCTTGATAATTCTTTGTGATTCATTTCAATTAAAAAATTAGCCCTTTTTAAATAGTTGCGTTTCCATCTGTAGTTCGCAGCTCTCATGAGTTAAAATGTTTCCCCTTTTTGTGGCACCCAAATGGCATATTTGTGTGCACCTCGTGCGGTCGCTGCAGCTAGAGGAATGCCCATCAAAGCGAAAAGATACAACCGCAGTGATAGTGCAAAAGGTTTCGGCATCCGTAAAATGCAGCTGAAGAAGCAGAGGCAGCAGAGGTACAAGACAATGATGAAGATCAGACAGAAGAAGAGGAAAAAGCGTTTCAAAGAAACAATTGCAGTAATGCCTCATATTAGAGCAGTATAATTCCGGCTCATTTATTAAAGGGGCTGAGCCTCAGCTCTCTCGACTACTATAATCACAATGGATCTTGGCTTGCAACAAAGGGCATATCGAGTGCCTGACAAGCCCAAACAAATTTCATTTTCTTCGCTACGTCGCGCCGCTCATTTATTTTTTATTTGATTTAAGCTTTTTTCAGCTTTTGTTGTAATTTTGTATTCTTTTCTTTATGTTTATTCGCTGGCTGTGTGTTTTTTGCGTTAATTTTCTTTTGCTTTAATTGCGCTGAATCCGCTGTAAAAGGCGGCTCCGACGTCAGTGCGTCGACTCTGAGCTGCGATCAATTTGGAAACTCATTGAAAAACGTTTTCGGGCAATGTGCATAAATTACCTGCGCCACAAAACAACCAAAATCCAAAAAGAAAAAATCAAATAAAACAAACTGCAAAAAAAGGCAAGAAAATAAAAATGAAACGAGACTTACCTTAGCGCCAATCTGGTTGCCGCACTGTCCGGCCTGCAGATGCACAATTTCTCTCATTTTGCTTTATGGGGCTTTAGTGTAACAATTTAACAAATTCTTAAAGCGTGGGACGTAGCAAGTCACAGTGGGCGTGGCCGGGAGGACAACTGCTTAGCAACTCAACCAAACTCAACTGAGCTGAATGGAGCCTGGACCTCTAACGGAACCTGAATATGGATCGCTCGATCCTTCTTGCGTATGTGTAAGCGTGTGTGTGTTCGGTGGTGTGCACTGATTGATCTCACTGTGTGAGCTCTGAAAGGGGGGTCCGGAGCAGAACGCGCTACTTAACCGCACAACGCACAAAACTCAACTGATCGCAGCGACTGCCTCAGAGTCAGGTCCCCAGTTGAAGTCCACTGCCCAACCCAACGGACGTCGGCGACAGCGACAGCGACAGCGACAGCAGCAGCGATAGCAGCAACGACGTCGTGTTGCTTCGGCTCACTGGTAGAAGTTGCGACTAGAGCGAGACGGTTGATCCCATGCTTGCATTCGTACACACACACCAACACACGCACACACATGTGCTTAACTGAATACTCGTGCCTTGCTCAGCGAAGAAGTTTTCTTTATTTCTAGAAGTACATGGAGAGAAAATAATCTTCTTTTGACAGATGCTTTGATTAGTTGTTACAAGAAAAGAATAATTCATTTAACTTCAAATTTATTTAATTTAAATATTTGAAATTAATATGCATCATTGTTAATGCTGTCTCTATCCGCATTAAAGGCCAGTTTTTATTACATGAAATAACCCCAAAGAGTGGGCTAAATCTATTTATATGACGCGTACTGTATTTCATGTATGCAAAGAAAGAGCTAGAAATAGGGAAAGAGAGAGCGAGAGAGAGAGAGAAAGAGAATGAGGGAAGAGATAGATAGAGACTCTTTCAGCTGAGCTCTATGGAAACACACTCACACTCCGCAGAGTTCTTTAATTTGGACTGACTTTGATTTACATTCTGTAAAAGCCTTTAGGCAGTGTATCAGTACATGAATGTAAGACATCACGAACGAAGTTAGAACTCTCCATTATTGTATGACTGAATCACAGAGATACTAGCAGTGAATCATCAGCAAGGCTCTAGGCCTAGAGAAGCTTACTACAGAGTATCTGAACCTAATAAGCATCAGTATCTAATGTATATCTTTTATTCTAATATTATATGTATTTTTCATATAATTACAAAAAATAAAGATCTAAGAGATGGGTCTGTATAGAGCCAGATAAGGGAATTTGGGTTTATCAACTTGGCTATTGATGCTGATAAAAATAAGTATATTTGCTTTATGGCGGCGGCAACAGCTTCTGGTGTGATATAGGAGAGATATATATGTATGCAAAGCAAGTAAGGAGCGGATACATTATATTGCAAATATCACACGCGCACACACGCATGGGCACGCGCTCTGCTGACTGCGCGTTTGAGCCGCAGTAGAGGCTTCTCTATGGAAACTTACTTGTTGCATAAGTTTTCTTCTAGATGGAGTTCCTATTTCATATTTCACAACCTGATAGTGGCGTCTAGATGTGTGTATTAGTCAAAGCACAAGTTTCTAGTATTACGTTTTGGCGAATTTGTGGGGAACCAACTGTAATTTTCCATGCTTTCAAGACATATACAATTTATATATATAGTTCATAGAGGAGAAACCAGTAGCTTATAGTTGTATAATATGCCGATCGTATACTAGACCTTTGAAGGTTATTTATTCTTGGTATATTTTTAGCTACAATTGCAGTGATTCATGCATTTTATCTAACCAAGAGCAAGAGATATGACAAACATTCACATGATTTAATTATCACTAATTCCGCTGGGTTAAAAAGTATAATGTCCTATAGATATCTTAGTTCTAAGTAGTGGTGCTGACTTTTGGTCTCCTTTGCTTGTTTATTATGGCAGCTTCAATCACTCGAACACGACAGGCCAAATGCCAACAAACATGACGACGCAACTATTTTGGTTTATATACATGTCTCTGTCTATTTGCGAATGAATATTCCAGTATCTGTATCTGCATATGTATCTTTAGCTTCGCTCTTCCCCTTGTAGCTGAGAGACCGCATTGCACCGTTCCTTGTTCTAAGTTCGGAAATCTTTACGTTGTCAACTGCAGCGTCTTTCGCTTTCTAATTTTATCAGCTCGACTTGCTCAGGTATTCCACACGATTGGTCTCTCCTTCTCCCTCTCTCGCTCACCCTCTCTCTCTCTCTCTCTATTTCTCTCTCCTTGTTTCTTCTCTGTGCGTGTGCGGACTTCCACAAAAGTGTCACCTCAGTCATTAGGAGCATTGGGGTGTTCTTCCACAAATGCTTTTGCTTTCAATTGCAGAGGCATAGGGAATGCATTCAACTTGCGTCTATTTTTGGTTGCACTTCGGCGCGCTTAGTGGTACTCGACGGTCCGTCGTTTTCCTCGGAAATCAATCAATTCCCCTCCGAGCATTTCAGACAATTTGTAGTCGCTTTACTTTCTAATTACTTTCAAGTTGAAAGACGCTGCATTTAGAATTGCATGTTTCGACGCTCTTCAAGTGCTTTCCCTAGTCCAACAAATATGAACGCACTGTGCCGGGCAGTGAGAGCCATTGGTCTTTGTTTAGGTTGACCTCAAAATAATCTTGAATTTACGACAATGAATAGTTATAAAATGTTATACATTTATACACAACAAGTGCAACAAACTAAACACACGTCCAAATTCCGGTCTACTCAGAGCTCCCAGGCCTTCAGCCCTCATTGAAGTTCATGTCCATGGCACAGTCCAGGTCCCTGCCCAGGTCCTTGTCAGCACCAACAGCAAAATAATTTGGCTGACAGTTTTTGACTAACCAAATAAAGGCGGGCTTATGACATTTGTGAAATAGACGTAAAATAAAATAGTAAGATAGATAGGCCAGTTTATATAAGGCTTTATTTGGTTTACAAATATATATATAATATAAATAATTATTTACATAAATTAAAATTAAAAACTCCAATTAAAATATTTGAATTGATTTGAAGCATGTACTATTAGATATATTTATAAATAAATATCTAATATCTTACTATGCTTTCTGTATAACTTTGGCTTTTCCGTCTTTAATTTATAGAACTCTGAATGATTCTTAAGCAATTGATTGCTATTATTTTTGAAGACTTTTAATAAAACAACCAATTGAGTCTAATTCAGAAAGGACAGTCAATTAAGATTGCAAATGCCAAAGCTTGGCTTAAAAAGCTTTGAAGCATGGGTTTTATGCTTCCTTAAAAGTTTATTTTTAAAAGCAACAACTAATGCCTCGAAACAGACTGTTAAAGCTGCTCCCCAACCCCCCTTTTTTGGGATAAACCTTGTGCAGGTTATACTCTTGTCAACATGATTGCAAAAACAACAACTACATCATACCCACGCACACACGCACATACCCACGCACACACCAATACCACTTGACTCATTGGCCTGCCTCAACTGTTGTGTGGTCGAACGGAACGCCCACAGCTAGCCCGCCTACAAAATGTACAAAACTTTTCAGAAAAAGTAACAAATGTTTTTTTAGGATTTGTGTTTTGGGAAATTCTGCACTTGTGTAAATAAATGTAAACGCAACGAACGCATAAACGCACACACAAATACATACTGATTAAATGGCAAATAATATATATATATATATATATATATATATAAACATTTAGATATATATATATATATATATGTATATATATATATATATATATATATATATATATATGTATATATATGTGTATATATATATTTATATGTGTGTATAATTGTTTATCCTTTACAGATAAAAAAGTCTAGCTAAAACATAAATTTGCCATCATATTTTTGTATCAAAGTTTTTGTAAGCTCTGCGATGCATTTAATATAATGTGTACGTATGTGTGTATATGTGTGTGTGTTTTTTATAGATTTTAGAGCAGTGCAACTGATCAGCCCACACACTGCTTCATCCGCTTAATTGATTGATTTGGGCTTATAGTAAATTTCCATTTATTTAGCTTGCTCAGCTTTTAATTTTCAATTTTAATGCCCATTTTGATGAAAATTACTTGTTTTGTTTTTTATTATTGCTGAATTCCATTTAAAATTAATTTTGCATAATTGCAGAGGTGGGTCCTTTGATTTTGTGGCTCTGGCGAGGCTTCTATCATTTGGATGCATTTTAATTGAATTTGATTGATTTTTGCTGATGGAAAAATAATATTGTTGTAAAATCATAACAATTCCGCCGGCTGCCTGGGGCCCATTACAAAGGCCGTAGTGCCCACACCTGGTCCATAATAAATAAAAATCAAGCAGAGCCTAACAAAAGCAACACCTGTCCAATTCGTCTGCAGCAGGATGCTAAAAGGACAAAACTCTGTGGGTCTGCCTCCATTATGAGCTGCGTGGGTGTAGCATACTTTGAGGCGCTTTGTTTGTGCAACAGGAAATCTGCAGCAGACATGGAAATGCCCAACAGAATGAGCTCTGCGCTTAAAGAACTGAAATAAAAATTCTCTGTATTCCATTCAGTTCAATAAGTAAAGTAAATATTTACTTCATCTTCGATGCGGCTCACAAAGTTGTATGCTAAACAGGAAGCATTATGCACAGGTATATTATAAGAGATATAACGCTCATTCAAAATATATTAAGAATTTGTTGCTACCTTTTATGCAACTTAATCTACAGAAATATTAATCTATTGACTTTCTTAGGGCTATGGACGGTGACAATCTCTGAATTAAGTGCTAAAGTAGAGGCAGCAGATATAGGGTTAACTTTAGAGGATGTTTGATTCATTTCAGGTCAACACTAGATCCGGTAGATCTTAAGGGAGCAGTAAATATGTACTGCCGTACTTGGGTGACAATCTAATGTCTCGAGATATTGTTTGGCTACCACCTGGATCTTGTCGCCAAATTATGTCACCTGCTCCATATTTCTGACTCCCATTTACCAAGGGTCAAAGTGATCTTCATCAGCGTTTTTGCCTGTAGAGCACGCATAAATCAAAAATCACAAAAAAACAAATATAATTTTAGAGCCAGGAGCTGTTAATGCGATTTAATTATATTATTTATATTCTTAAATTTCCAAGATCCTTTTTCTTGCAGTTCTTATGAAGGTAATTTGATTCAAAAGTCAAAATTGAATTTCCCGATTCCTGCTTCTATTTGCGGGCTCCTTTCCAATTCGCCAAATTCTAAGCTAAAATTTATGCAACTCATTTTTCAGCGATGGCTTTTTTGCTGCTGCTGCCCTGCCAAGCCAACAGCTGTTGCCTTTGGCTGGAACAATAGTTTTTGCTGCCAATTAGTTGTTTTAATTGG